GAGACGCGGTCAGCAAGGGCTGTGCTGCGTGGTGGCGGACGCATGCGAGCGGTGCCACTGGGACCTTCGGTGGAGCTCCCTATGGGGCCACGAAACGCTGTACTGGGTGGGTGAAACGCAGGCAGGGAGCAAGGGCTGTGCAGGGTGGTGGCGGACGCATGCGGGCGGTGCCGCTGGGACCTTTGGTGGAGCTCCCTATAGGGCTACGAAGCGCTGTTCTGGGTGGGTGAAGCGCAGGGAACAAGGGCTGTGCTAGGTGGTGGCGGACGCAAGCGGGCAGTGCCACTGGGACCTTTGGTGGAGCCCCTTTTGAGGCCACGAAACGTGCGAGGGGTGTGCCAGAATGGGGTGTGGAACCGCATGCCAGCGCAGCCACTGGGGCCTTCGGTGGAGCTCCCTATGGAGCCACGAATGTGTGAGGGGTGTGCCGAAATGGGGGGTGGAACCGCATGCGAGCGCAGCCACTGCGGCGTTCGGTGGAGCTCCCTATGGGGCCACGAGACGTGTGAAGGGCGTGCCGAAAAGGGGGGTGGAACCGCATGCGAGCGCAGCCACTGGGGCCTTCGGTGGAGCTCTCTATGGGGCCACGAACCGTGTGAGGGGTGTGCCGAAATGGGGGGGGGAACCACATGCGAGCGCAGCCACTGGGGCGTTCGGTGGAGCTCCCCATGGAGCCACCCACGAAGCGTGTGAGGGGTGTGCCGAAATGGGGGGTGGAACCGCATGCGAACGCAGCCACTGGGGCCTTCGCTGGAGCTCCCTATGGGGCCACGAAACGTGTGAGGGGTGTGCCGAAATGGGGGGGAACCTGGAACGCAGCCGAACTGGGGCATTCGCTGGAGCTCCCCTGGGGCCACGAAACGTGAGGGCCGAAATGGGGGGTGGAACCGCATGCGAACGCAGCCATTCGGGTGTGAGCCGAAATGGGGGTGGAACCGCATGCGAACGCAGCCACTGGGGCCTTCGGTGGAGCTCCCTATGGGGCCACGAAACGTGTGAGGGGTGTGCCGAAAATGGGGGGTGGAACCGCATGCGAACGCAGCCACTGGGGCCTTCGGTGGAGCTCCCTATGGGGCCACGAAACGTGTGAGGGGTGTGCCGAAATGGGGGTGGAACCGCATGCGGCGCAGCCACTGGGGCCTTCGGTGGAGCTCCCTATGGGGCCACGAAACGTGTGAGGGGTGTGCCGAAATGGGGGGTGGAACCGCATGCGAACGCAGCCACTGGGGCCTTCGCTGGAGCTCCCTATGGGGCCACGAAACGTGTGAGGGGTGTGCCGAAATGGGGGGGGGAACCACATGCGAGCGCAGCCACTGGGGCTTCGGTGGAGCTCCCTATGGGGCCACGAAGCGTGTGAGGGGTGTGCCGAAATGGGGGGTGGAACCGCATGCGAACGCAGCCACTGGGGCCTTCGGTGGAGCTCCCTATGGGGCCACGAAACGTGTGAGGGGTGTGCCGAAATGGGGGGTGGAACCGCATGCGAACGCAGCCACTGGGGCCTTCGCTGGAGCTCCCTATGGGGCCACGAAACGTGTGAGGGGTGTGCCAGAATGGGTGTGGGAGGGGGAGGAGGGGCGGGGCACCGTCTCTTCAAAACGAGGACCCAACACCACAGGATGGTTGGGAAATGCCCCAAAAATAATCAAAAAGTAGTCCAAAAGTAGTCTGGGGACTATTGTTTGAGTATTTTTTGACCTTTTTGGAATATTTTGGGGGTACTTTTTATTTTTCGTCGAAAATCCCGCTGTAGGGGGACACGCCCGACATAATTCTAGGGGCTGGCTCTTCTAGCCACGGCATGCCACTGCGAGGCTCGGCCTCGAGCAGGTCCCCCGACCTGGATCTGAGGACCGGCCCCTGAAACGGCTGCCCTTCTTGAGCCCAAGGTGGTCCTTACAGGCCTCGAAAAAATAGCGAACACTCATGCCACATTCATCTGTGAACGCCTCCCCCTCCCCCCAATATTCAAAGTTGGCGGTGGGTCTGATGAGTTGCACCTCGACCGCAGTCTCCCCCGCGCGTGCCAACCTTGAGTTTGGGGGGCAGGGGGGGTGTTCACTAATTGTTTCCCTCTACCGTATTTCAGTGTCTTGACTGCAGACGGCACGGGCCTTCTCAGAAGTGCCCGGAGGCTTCCAAGAGGGCATGCCGATCAGGATCAGGGAGGGCCTCCGAGAAGCCCCCTGCACTCGTGGGCGTCCTCCGTGCCTCTTAGGAGGTCGCCCCCCTGGCGTCACCCCTCCGTGCGCGCCGCCAGCCAAGATCCAAGAGCACAACTTTTACAGGAGGGCCGCTGAAATGAGGAACGCTAAATGAGGAACGACGCCCCTTTTCTGCGCCAGCAGCGCCATGGTGCACAGGGAGGGCCACAGGAACAGCCACGGAATGGTCTACGGAACAGCGAACCTCTTCCGAACCCACGGCTGTCTTAATTTCAGCGTCTTGGCTGTATGAGCTGGACAGGAAGCGCGGTAGCGGACAGGCGCTGCAGCGCAAGTGC